TAGTTGAACGATTTAATAGAACACTGAAAACTCGAATGTTTCGATATTTCACTTCAAAGGGACGAGAAAATTTATTGATGTATTACATGAGCTAATGATTGCCTATAATGGAAGTTTGCATAGATCAATTGGCATGGCACCGAAAGATGTAAATGATGAAAACTCGAACTCCATTTTCGAAAAACTTTATGGAAAAAATCATTACGAGAAATTTATCAGGAACACCCTCATACATAAGATTGATGTTGGATGAAGTGCGAATGAAGTATAAGTTAGGACCGTTTGAAAAGGATTCTACCGAATTGGAGTGATCATGTATACAAAATTTCATCGGTGGATAGAACAAATAAAAAAGCAATTTTCACACTAGATGGTTATGATGGAACCAAAATAGAGAATAGAAAATTTTATGAGGAAGAGTTACAGAAAGTCCATGCAGAGGTACATCGTATTGAGAAAATATTGAAAAGACGATTATATAAAGGAAAGCCACAATACTTTGTTAAATGGTTAGGATATTCTGCAACTTACAATTCATGGATAGATGCACAAGCGATAACAACAATATCACAATAATGAATGCTGAAATGTTTACGTTTACCATGCAAATTGTAACGCTTTTTTGTGTTGTTATTGCCTCACTTCTCAATCTTTCTCTTGGGATGGGAGATCAAAAGTTATGGCTGACTTTGCTTACAATGTCTCTAGGATGTATACTCCAACTCCAAATTCTCCAAAAAATTCCTTGATGAGCCGTAATGCAAGTGAAAGTGATATAAAGCGCTCAATAAATATTTGATCAATTAAATTTTTTGTTTTAAAGAAAATGCCTAATTCGTTTTATGTTTCACTTCCTAGTAATGTCTTTACTTATGAAAAAATAAAATTTCTGATTATATAACATATCTTCCTAAACCATTGAATTTGTCTGATGATTATCATGTTCTAACAGAGTTATCGTACACTAAAGTTGGTATAATGTTCAACAAAACTCATTATTCACACTTCATGACACTAGATCAATCATTTTACAAAAACCGGGTATAGCTCCAGGTGGTATAAGAACATCCATGATTTGATAAAAGCTATTAACGATAAAATTGAGTTTTATTCGAACAAGATAAATACTTACAACCTAAATTAGTTCTAGATGAACACAGTCGAAAGGTGGAAATGAAATTTGGCCGTACTAGTGACGGAGTACCGATGCTAGTTTATTTAGGAAATGAATTAGAGGAAATGCTCGGTTTTCTAATGAAAACTCAATGAATATGTTGGATGAGAATGTTTCTATCGTGCCATTAATAGGCGATAAATACATAAGATTGCAGAGTAAAAGCCCTGAAAGACTATTTGATATGAAGGAGAATTCATTCTTTAATGGTTTATAGTGATATTGTATCACATTCAATCGTTGGAAATACACAAGCTAATTTTTTACGATCTGCCAGGATAGACGATCGTGACGAATTCGGATCTGACATAAATTTAATCTTTCAAAAACCATATTATTTTCCTGTTAATTCAAATTTCATTGATAAAATAAGAATTAATATAAAGGATGATACAGGAAATCCTATAGAATTTCAATTTGGAAGAGTTTCGGTGACTTTACACTTTAGAAAAACATGGAAAGCTATTATTTAGAACAAGCAGGTAATGGAACTGCAATTCAATCTTTCTCAGGAGTACGTTATCAACGAGGCGGTGGCTTTTTCAGTAGACTTTTTACTAGTAAGGTTTTACCAATATTACGTTATCTTGGAGACAAAGCCCTGGACACTGGAAAGGCTATTTTGAATGATGTCAAAACTTCTGCGACCAATAGAATCATCGATACTGTTCAAGAAGTAGCTCAAGAGGCTATAAAAAGAAAAGTGGGAAATGAAGATGGTCAGTCCGGCTCAGGTATAAAAAGGAGAAAGTTGACAAAAAGATCTTACATAGCTGATTATAATTTTTTAAAATGACCACTCAAAGCAAATATTCGAAAGAAGCTGTCCTTTCTGAATTGGATCTTTTTACGATACCACCTGTTCAGAAATCTATTGAGAGAAGCTATGAAGTACAATACAGACCAATATCATCTCTCGACTCTACAAAAATAATAGAGTTTTCAATTCCTACATCTAAGGATGAGTATATTCTTCTTCATGAAACATATTTTTATGTGAAAATTCAACTTAAAATCCGAAAAGCAGACGATTCTGCGTTAACTATTCAAGACTGGGAAACTGTAACACCAGTAAATAATTTACTTCATTCTATGATAAAACAAGTTGAGCTTGAAATTGGAGGGAAAGAGGTTACCATGTCTAATTCAACATACGCTTACCGAGCCTATATTGAAAACATGCTAGGCTTCTCCGCTGATGCTAAAAACTCGCACTTGTCGAGTTGTTTGTGGATGGAGAATGCAATAAGGAGACGATCATTTTTCACTCCGAGAAGTTTTGCAGATGGTAGCAGTAAAGAAGTTGATCTTTATGGACGGCTACATTTTGATATGACATTTCAAGGCAAGGCTATACTTGGAGGTAAAGATATTAAAGTAAGAATCCTTACACGATCCTTCATTCTTCATGCAATGAGGATAGAGTAAGCGATGTTGCAATGGTGATTAAAGATGCATGTCTATACGTGCATAAAATGAAGGCTACACCTCAATTAACAAACGCACACTCAAAAGCTCTGGCTATTGCGCCTGCATGTTACCCTATTTCAAGGGTTGATTTACGACAAGCCTCTATCCATGCAAACTCTCTTGATGCGGTTCTATAATATTATAACTGGACAACTCCTCGAAGATTATTCTTATTAATGGTTAAAATACAGCATTTAATGGTTCTAAGTCTCAAGATCCATTCCACTTTGACCATTTTAATGTTTCACATGCAGCTTGTTACGTTGATGGTGTTCAATTCCGACAAATGCGTATCAACCGACTTCAAAATCAATTATGTGTACGAGAGTACTCTGGCCTATTTCAAGCAATGAATATGAACTCAACTGATACAACAGTAAATATTACTAGGAAGATTTCATGGGAGGAAAACAATTTCGCCTTTAACTTTGCACCAGACCTGTCACATGGACCTGGTATGACTGGACATATTAACCCTATTAAAAGAGGCTCGTTGAGAGTTCAATTGAGATTTTCTGAACCATTAAGAGAAACAATAACTGTACTTCTTTATTGCGAGTTTGACAATATTATTGAAATAGATTTAGAACGTAATGCTGTAACTGATTTCAAATAAAAGTAATGTTTGATTATGAAATAAAGAAAGCTCTTTGTTCTTACGATAAATTCATAGGATGTTTTGCGCGAGATAAAATACCTTCAATAGTTGAGTATCCATCATTTATTATCGTCAATACTGACAAGTCATCTGCTCCTGGAACGCATTGTTGCTATGAGATTTACATCGAATGAATGTGAATATTTTGATTCATTTGGTTTACTCCATTGCATCAGGAAATGATAAATGCTATCGGGTCGCGTAAAATGTTGTGGAATGGCCGTTGTTTACAACACCCTTCTTCACGAACATGTGGAGAGTTTTGTATAGCATTTGTAAAGTTTCGCTCTCTGAAATTTTCATTCATAAAATTTATCAAGTATTTTTCTGCTGATACAAAATCTAATGATAAAACAGTAAAAAGTATAAGTTCGGATGATTGGAATACAAGTTTTCAGTTGCATAACAAAAATGGATGAGTACACTTGCCCACGGGTTACAAACATGGTGGTCGCCTTCTCTCTACCTTTTGAGATAGATCTAAAACAGCTGATAAATATTTATCCTCAAACTGATTACCGACCTAAACGATTCAATGGTGCTATCATTAAGACGAAAATAAATTGTTTACTAGTATTCCGAAATGGAAAGATTAATGTCGTCGGAAATAAGAGAATTGAGGATGCTGAAGATGCTGTTGATGAATTGTGTTTAAAATTGCATAAGAAAAAAGAATATACAAGAAGAATAGTTAATATCGTTGCTACTTGTGCATTAGGTCATCCAATTGTGTTGAATGATCTAGCAAACAATGGAGACTTTGAATATAACCCTGAAATATACCCAGCTGCTTACTATAATATCGGTAAAGCTAAAATATCGGTTTTTCATACAGGAAAAATAATTTTCACTGGCTTTTCAGATTTTACAGATATTGTGAATTCTTTTGATGAAGTTCATTTGCTAATAAAAATGATTTGATATTTTATAAGAAAACAGTTTATTTAATTAATCAATTTCATTCTATATATGAGAGATACTTGATTTACAAATTGGACAATCGTCAAGCTGTGTCGCACAATCGATGCAAGAGATAGCGTGATCACATGGTGCGAATACTGTACCGATTTCTTTGTCGAGACATATCTTGCAAGTGTATCTGTCCTTATCATCAGTGGGTTGTGGTAGCTCTGTAAGGGGAGTAACTGTATCTGTTGGGGAGTTGATATCATCTACGAACATCTGTCCTCGCTTCAAATATAGATAACTACATTTAGAAGTAATATGCATGGACAGCCCATGCATTATCTCCTCTCCCAATTTGAGATTGTTCCATTGCAGTTGAAACATCTGGTGTGATCGTATACTCTAGTGTAAAAGAATCCGGCCTCTGCAAGTTCTTTGGGTGTTATTATCTCATTGATCGGCCAATTTGAGAAAGTTTCAGTCCGACTTTGTAGTGTTCTAAACTGAAGGTTCAGCGGCTTAAAGTATCGTCGTCGATTGGATGATTCTGAAAATGATACCAGCCTATTTCTTGTTATACGCCTAGATACTCTAGGAAAACGTCAGTTCGTTCTTTCGATTGCTGGAAATTGTTAGAATTTTCATTTCTGTTAGGATGTTAGAGATACCAGTGACATTATCATTGTTTTGTGGTCTTGGGTAGTCATCAACTACATCTTCTCCCTCAATTTGGTTAAATATAATCACTCGATCCTCTGCAGTGTTATTAGAATGAAGGATTATTATTCTGTACTATCCTTGATTCTTCATTTCATAATTAACCATGACTCTTAGAGGCGTGTTTTCCTGTAGAACAACAGTTGATATAGATCTTGGTATATTACCACAAGGAAGACCTTGGATGAAAGGACAATCTGATGAATGAAGACGATGTTCAATCCAGTGTAAATCTTGCCAGATTGAGGCGTGGTAGAGGTATCCACAGAAAAAACATTTAACCTGTCGCGATATTCCTGTAAAGTAAAAACCATCGCGCGCTAGCTCCGTTCGGTATGAAATCTCCGTGCCCCACGCTGATTGGAAAAAGCTTTCATATCGAGCTTGCTCGGAAGCATAAGTACTTGCATTGTTGCTTGAGTCTGTTATATTCATTTTAGTAGAAAAAAGAAAGAAACTTCAGATGTGACAGAATTTTGAAATGAAAGTGAATACTCGTCAATACAAACATTTGCTTTTTATTCGAGTTCGGTCTCCTATCTCACTCTATAGATGTGCGCACTATCAATTGTATTTTCATTGCATGTGTGATTTGGCTTGCAAAGTTGCTTCTGACCCCACCCTAACAACATTAAGCTCCTCCCTTTAACGTTTAGACACATCTTACTACTTATCTTGATTATTTATTAAGTTCTGCCCTACTGAAAACACAAAATTATAAATAGTAAATGAAATGTTAGGCTATTCTACCTTTGCAGAAATGTATCGAAAGGATATGAAATAATTATGAAATACAATGAATAATTGTCATTTATTTTCTTAAACCAACCAATTATTATCAAAAGAAAAGATTAAAAATATTAATTTTTTCATGAGTATTAATACAAAACTATTGATCGTCACAATCATCAGCATTATTGCATTATAGTGGTGATTAAATCAAGGAGACTTGATTGTTAGTTGAGGAAAATAGATTAACGGAAACTGGTAAACCAATCAATTGATTATTGGATAAAGAAAAGAAATTTTTTGAATATTCATTATTTTCCCAAAGGAAATTTTGATTGTAATAGTTACAATTAGAAAAGAAAATGTTAATTTTTCAGCTCTACGCTTGGACTTTGGAAAAATTTGCGAAAAGCAACATGGTTTATGTACTTTGCTTTGATTCTCATTTAGACTAATTCTTTTTTTTCTTCTCCTGTCAATTAACTTTTAGATTTTCTCATGATTATCGTAATATAATTGACTGTGCATCTCACTCAGGGCGTAGGTTGGATATTACCCATGGGTGCGGTTGAATGGGCTGAGTTTCTGTTATTCTCATGTCACTGAAACTTTGGCGTTCATATGAAGATCTCGACTCATTAGTACGTGATCTTTTTCTTTCACCATTTCGAACCAATTTGTGTGATAATCGAGATCGAAAAATGTTAAAGTCTTAACATTGATGCAACAATCGATTTACTATCAATTTACATTAATCACTGGTTTACTCATCTATTGATACTTATTATTAACCCAAAGATTAGATTATGTGGTCAAGTGTGAACAAAAGTCCATCATCACGATCAATTATGATTAAATTTCAATGTTTGGGTGAAAAGAATCTACTTGTATTAATGATTATCAATCGTGATACAAAGTAAATTATGTTAATTTGATTGATTAGTGTACTCACCCAATTCTCTGTATGTTAATTGATCAAGGAAACAGAATATTATTCTGAGTCTTATTCGCTGTTGGCTGAATGGTTTGCTTATTGAACGCCATTATCCTGTTGTCCACTGTTGATTGTTTGAGCAGTGGACAACAAGAGAAAGGTGAACAATTCACAATATCAACAGGAAAACATGATTGAAGGTACGCAACTTTTACAGGTAAAATCAGATTAGATATAAAGGAAACGGAAGGGATGAAATATGATAGAAATGATGGAAAATAAATCCAGATACAAAGAGAGATTAAAGCTGGTCAAGTTAGAGATGTGAATATTAGATAGATAGTAATTAGAATCAGAGAAGAGCTGATTGAAATTGTGAGGAAAATTTTTAGATTTGTTGTCGACTCGATGATGTGACGAGTCGAAATGACCCTTGCAAGGAGATGGACACTTGAATTTTGAGAGAAAAACAAAGAGTATGAGAGAGTCTCATTGTCATTAAAAGTGAATGTAAAAATTGGAGAAAGATAAAAGTGAAAAGAAGATAAGTGAGCGAGAGAGCAAGAGAGCCATTCAGTGATTTGTTTGTATCTTTCAAAGTTAAACTTATCAAATTGCCATGGAAACAAATGAAAGTATCCAAAATAATTAGCATCTTCACTGGACCTTAAATTAGACTCATCACAAATAACATCATTGGGTAACCGGCTTTACCTTTTCTCCTTTCATCCATTTATCTTCTTCCATTACTCTCTCTCTCTCTCTCTCTCTCTCTCTCTCTGTCTAAAAGGAATTAATTGATAACCATTAACAAACTGGAGCTTTGATTTTACTTTTTGTATTGAAAAATGGACCGGAAATTTTGGTTACTATGAATGGTCAACAAAAATGAATGGTCATTATTATTACTCACCATGAAGATAGACCAATGGTACTCTCTTGATTGGTGTTTTAATTATCCATTTTATTTCTGGTCTGATTATTTCCATGACTTGATTATCAGCTGAAAATACTAATATTCTTGACTGTTGGTTAATCAAATAGGATTTTCTTCCAAGAATCAACCAGCATGACGATACATTGGAAGAGGAAAAATGTTCGTGGTGATTTTTTCATCTCGTCCGGAAACAAGTCATGTTTATGGATATTGAATCTTCCTGGTTATGGTAACTTGCATGAAGAACATCATGAACCTGATTCTAGATTAGGTTCAACTTGTGTATTTCCCTAGAAAATCATTAATATTATCTCGAATCCATTGGCAACAATTGTCCTGAGGTTGACTGGTGATCCCTTATCCTTTTTAGAATCCATTAATTAACCTATCAACATCATTTTGGAACATTTTCTAGCAACAATTAACATCAACAATCTAATCAAGGTAAGACTATTGTAGAAAATATTCCCCATAAAAGATACAAAGTTTACTGTTGTTTATCAATCGAAACAATTAATTTTTTTATGCAGAATCAAATTTATCTTTCATCTCAACAGGATATTGAGAGATGTTGATTATGAAGGACAATTGAAAGAATGGCATATTGAGAGACATCTCTCTATCGATATTGATTAGTTAATCATTGTGATCAATTATCTCCTCATAACCACTATTGTCATTGGTGATCATTATCATCACCAGTGTACTTGAATATTCAAAAAAGATGAGCCAAGTGTGACCATAAACGACTGTGGGAAGGGATAAGGTTGATAAGAGGACCGGTCATTTGGAGGAGAAGACACAATTAAATATATTGACGAGGATGATAAATAATAAAATGTACACTTTATACATAATAATATTACTAATGATTATGGTTAACAAGAAAACTCTGAAAAGTTTATCATCTTTATCTCCCATGTGAATGATGGAGAAATTCAAAGGAATATCGGGAGAGAGAGAGAGAGATAAAATCTTTCATCCATGTAGAAAAAAACTCGAAAACCGTGATGATAATTGTGATGAGGATAATTACCAATGACAAGAAGTTTAAATTGTAATATTATGGATTAATAAAGTATAATAACAACAGGGAATCAGCATTTTAACTATTCCATCCCCTGAACAATATATTATTATCATGGTTGTTGATCTTTATGAGATAAACTGTTCATTTAAACCATAAATTCTGATAAAAGATCACATTTATTAGCAATACTTGAGCTATTAATCGATGCTTTGAATTCAATGATTCACTTTGTTTTTAATATCATGACAATCGCTGCTTTTGCTTAACGACAACTTTCATTACAATTTGTTAAATTTACATTTTGAACGAGGAAATTAATCATCCAAAGAGTCGAAAATTACAAATTTTAACCTTTTTTTCTGGTAACAATTGGTCTATGTGAGCAAATTAATGTCAACTAAAACTTGTGTATAAATAATGACAAGGAAATACGAGTACCAATATCCACGTTTCTATGGTTTTAACAACATCGTCCGATAAAAATTAGCATATTAAAGTTCCCCTAAAGTTTCACTTACATGTTGGGTGATAAAAACTCGAATAGAGATGAGTAATTGTTTGTTAAGAGTTCGAACCTCTAAAAAACAAACCTGATTAATTTGAAACTTCGGGAGCCACAAAGCAAATGATAAAAAAGTATAAGTTTTGGTTTTTTATTTTTATATATCTTTAAAAGCGAATTTACTTGTGAGAGTTTCAATTGAATTTTTTCGATAACCTTCCATCATGAATTTCAATCTCTTTTCGGCTTTAATCTTTATGATGTTCTATTCCGTGCTGTTTCATCTGCACGTACTGGTAGACTATCCACTACCATGGCCGATACCTCTGCCACTACACCCTCAACTACGACAACTGTGACAATTAGGTCATGTCGAGGATACCCCGAAGTCGTGGTTAAAATAATCATTTACTGTCTAATGTAATTATTAACTTGATAAAGTGTTGAATTTCCGATATAAAATAACATGAATATTAGAATCTTCTGTCTTTTCCTTTAAATCAACTTTAAAACGAAACATTAAAAGGTAGTTTATACAATATACAGCCAAAGACTTTGAGTTTGCAACCACTTTTAAATCATTCACGCAGTCAATGATAAGCAAATAAAGATAACTTTTGATATCTAATCAGTTGACCATTTTAAGACTACATCACTTAAATTAGTGGACAGACTTATCATCATATCTTTGGGTTAACTGTATCTCTCATTGATTATATTCAACTGCGTGAATGATTTAGAAAGTGGTTGCAAACTCAAAGTCTTTGACTGTATGTAATATCTTTTTTGCAATTGATAACCTATTTTACTATTTCATTAATCAATCGAGAATTGGGTTTGCTAAGATGGTTAGAGTTTATTTCTATCCGTGAATTTCGGTTTGATATAATATCGAAAGAAAAATATTGATGTTCGAATTGAGAAGAAATTTCATTCATAAAATTGTTGTCAGTTTTTCTTTCACCAAGTTGATGGTGGGAAAGAAAGGATTGAATTGATGACAATTGAATAATCAGTTGATTGTCTCTTCATGAGAATTCACTTGCTGTTTAATATTAACTTTATTTCTTCTTGATGATTGAAAATATTAATCTCTTTTTCTAACTGATATGTATTGTTACTCGAAGACCATCTAGCCTTTCGTGACTTGACTCGATTTCATGGTGACACGGAAAAAAACATGAACGATGATCCAGAATTTCAGATAGGTTGGAATATCAACTTGAAATTATTTCTAATTCTTGGAATGATACTAATCTAAATTGACCAGCAAAAAGATGAATCCAATGTATTAATACATCTAAATGAAGTGAAATCGATTTGATTGTAACCAACCATGAACAATTATCTCATAACTAATTGATTATTCAACATCTCTTTCTATCTCCCTTTGTTCATTTAAATTCTCATTCTCATCATGAAAATTGTAAAGAAACTTATACAATATATTGTACTTACATTATTCGATCCTCGAATCAACCATGATTATCTCATCGGCTCGATCATGGAACGGAAAAGGAAGTTGGTTATATCATTGGAATCAACTAGAATCACCACAGAAATTATAAATATAAGATACATAATATTTAAGAATCTGAAACAGTTCGGTTGACAGATAAATATGAAGTAAAATAGTTCGAGATGAAAGTTCGATGTCTCTAAATTTAGATTCGTGAGAGAAACAAAAGAGAAATATAATATAAGGGAGTTGGTGAGAAAGATACAGGGATTTGGGAGTGAATAGAAAACGATAGAGACCAGGGTGTGTCAAGGAATCGCGTTCGAGAGATGATGATGTTCAATCGACAAAATGTAAGCCCGAAATTAACTGATGATGAATATATTGGAAAACGCCCTAGATAAAGAGAGAGAGAGAGAGAGCAGGTAAATGATGATGAAGATGAAAAGTAAAGACAAAAGACTTTGTATCAATTTAATGTATTAAAAGGAAAAGCATCAATAGAAGGGAAAAAGAGCAAAATCGATTTTTGATTAGCGAACTTTGCAAATATTGAATTTCCTGAATCTCGAGGAATATCTGACAATCTAATTTCTTTCATCATTATTATCATAATCATCTCACTCGATTTCCGTGGAAATATTTCTCCATCTTCCTTTTTCAACTTACCTTTGTATCTAAGATCAATATTTTACTCTCTGTCCATACAATCTGATCGTTCAGCTGATTATATTCACTAATTATGTTAACCTAATGATGTTTAAATTGTCACAATTGTCACTGTCCTTTGAGAATCTTCAAATTGTTACCTTGATTTAGTTTTCGTATGATAATAAATCCTTACAATTATCATTATCTCTTTGATTAGATTACTCATTTTTTTCGAGAACGGAAGTTTACTTTTATCTAATCAATCAATTTCCTGTTAAATTGCTGCGATCATAATTCATTGATTATACAATCAAGATGATAATCATGCCTTCTAATGGGCTTCTAACCAATTTACTTAACTAAATTAAATGATGAAATGAAAAAATATCCGATTCTGTTGTTGATTTTTGAATGTGAGATGAATAATTTGAAGAATTGATTTAATTGTTAGATTTGTGATCACAATTAACTTTCCACTGAGGTTGAAAAAAGCGACAAAGGTATAATTATATTCATTGGATATTAATTATTAATGCGAACAATTTATCATTTGAAAGAAAAGCAATCAGATTAACAATTTAATCTAAATAATTCATATTAATGATAAAATACTAATAACGATTAAGGGAAAGGCTTTTTTATTATTTTCATCTAATGATAGGAATTAATTTAACTTCTTGATTAATGTCATGGAATCATGGGAACAATTATCTCAATTGATGAATCTATTGATTTTTAGATAAAACCAAATAGGAAATTAATTTTTAATTTTCTTTTCTATTTATGAGAGATAATTAAATTAATTGTTTTCTTCAATTTTTCTGTTTTTTTACCAGTGACAAACTAAAAAAAGATGATTAAGAAAACAAATGGCCTCCGATCACGAAGTGCTATCGGTCAAGATGACGGCAACTTTATGATATCAATGTTATGAAAACCGATGAAAACGTTTTATTTGTTCTGAGACCAGAGTTCGCCATACTGACCACTTCTCTTCCCTGATGAACAAGATTACCATTGAACTATCGGTAAATCGATAAATGGTTAACCGAAAATCGACCAGTTGGAGCACCAAATTGAAGCCATTCCAAGAGATCGAATTGTTTTTCTTTATCGGTTCGAGACAACGACTGTTCGTCCAGCAAACCAATAACGACTAAAGCATTTGGATAAATATTAAAGATTGCATCTGATCATTATTTTGATGAAAACATTTTATTCATGATTTAGATGAATCTATTGGCACCCCCAGTGTTGTATAAGTACAATGTACATGACACTCGCTGAATAATTCAGGTCGTGGACATCTTTCCTTCGTCGATTTGTTCCTGGAAATCCAATGGGAGAAAATTGAATTAATTGTTTTCTTCAATTTCTGATTGTTTACATTTGAAAAAAGAGGAAAACATATGATTTCGGATCACATGTTTACTATTACAATTTCTTGGTTTCTTGTGTTTACTTTTTGTAGTTGTTCAATTTTGTTGTTTTTATGTTAAAATTGTATTAATTTTATCATTTAATTGTTAGTTTGGTCTTTCCAGTGATAACCAAACTATTTTGTAAAAACTGATTCTTATTTTTGTTGTTGAGATGAACTGCTGATTTAGATGAACTAAATTGTGATACTGGTTTTCTAAGAATTTAATTATGACAATTACTAAATTATCCAGATCAAGATTATCGTTTCTTCCTGGACATTTGTTATTAAGAACTTTAAAGACTAATGTTGATTATCGTGATAAAGTATTTAGTTCATCGGTTATCATTTCTACAAATGATAACATTTACCAGAATTTAGCTTTAGAGGATTGGCTTTACACTGGATATGGTAAATTGAAACAATCAACTAATTGGTATCATTTGTTGCTCTGGTTTAATCAACCTTGTGTCGTAATTGGTAGACATCAAAATCCATGGAATGAGATTCATGTTAATCAATGTTCAAAGCTTAATTTACCAATTGCCCGGCGGAACAGTGGAGGTGGAACTGTTGTCCATGATCTGGGTAACCTTAATCTTTGTTTTCTTTCTGATAAAAAATCTTACAATCGCCAGCAAAACAATCAACTAATCATCCGAACCTTGGATAAATATTATGGAATCAAATGTGAAATATCAAGTCGGAAAATCTAATCACTTCTAATGGAGGATTCAAAGTATCAGGAACAGCGTCTAAATTAAGCTCAACCTCAGCTTATCATCATTGTACTTTAATGGTTAATGTTGATTTATCTTTAATGGTTAAAGTGACCAAAACTGATTGTCCACTAATTGAAAATAAAGCAACACCAAGTGTTCATGCATCGGTGGAAAATTTATCGTCTCTGAACTCAACAATCAACATGGATAATTTAATTGGTAACATTTCCACTGAATTTATCAATGAATTTGGTGATCATGGAATCATTCATGTTAATCCTGATGAGAAACAATTTGATTCCATTGGTGAAATTTATGATAATTTAATCGATTGGAAATGGATTTTTGGTAAAACACCGAAATTCGAAGTCAAAGGTCAATCAATCGATGGAATTTCTTGTAAATTAACAGTTAATCATGGAATCATCGACAATGTTGAAACTGTCCCACCAATGAACTTTTCATTGCTCGAAGGAATCAGATTTGTAAAGGAAGATGTTGTTTCTCAATTTATTTGTAATGAAACAAATTCTGAATCAAATTATTCAGCTGCCAAATCTTTGATAATCGAGTTGATAGATCAAGTTTATTCTTGAAATTTGATTAAAATGGTGTCATTAATTGTCTTTTGTATAAAATAAATTATTCGAACAGAGTTAATTGTTATCAGAATCACAGACTATTGTACACTTATGGTTGAAGATCTGGATGATTACCAGTCTTTGAAATCTCCGAATGTCGATCTTGCAACGATTTTCTTTGGTTTAGATGGACCTGGAATCGTTGAATCGTCAGATTTCACGGAATCGTCTTCATATTTAATTTCTTTCAAGTTGATTAAACAACCAACTCCTGCACTTGTTTCGGGTATCGTTTTTGTTTCCTTCACTTTGACCTTATTTGCTGCGTCTTTGTCCTTTTGTCTTTCGGCTTTCAGTTCATCTTCTATCTCTTGAAATGGATTAACATAAACCGTTATATTATCAATTTTGATTGTTTCTTTAGGCCGATCATTTTTGTCTGTTTGAATCTTTTCCAATTTATTTAAAGTTTCCAGGCCACCGACAACTTTACCAAAGACGGAGTGTTTCCGGTCAAGATGACGGCAACTTTTCAATGTTATGAAAAACTGTGATTTATTTGTATTGGGTCCAGAGTTTGCCATACTGACCACTCCTCTACCCTGATGAACAAGATGACCATTGAACTCATCGGCAAATGGTTCACCGAAAATGGATTCTCCTCCTCGACCAGTACCAGTTGGGTCACCACCTTGGAGCATGAAATTTTTGATTAATCGATGAAAAATTGTTCCATCGTAGTATTTTCTAGTGCAAAGAGTTAAAAAATTATGACATGATTTAGGAGCATCTTTACAATAAAGCTCCAGGTTAAGTGGCCCGTGGTTGGTACTGATTTGAACGTAACCATTTTTCTTGACCATCGAGTAAACAACATCAGTGTCATCGATTGTTGCTGCTTCTATTCTTGTTGTTGGAACAGCGATTGTTGATGTTAACGATTGTGATGCTGTTCCAGTTGAATAATTTGCTCTATTAAATCGATCAGCAACTTTTTCGACCTTTTTCTCCGACTTTGGAACTTTCCAAGTGACACCAGTTTTATCAAGTTCGTCTAAAGTGGCCTTAGTAACGAGATCCATTTTATTGAACAATCTACTGGGATCACTTTGATCTTCTTCTTCAGACCAGCGAAGTTTTTTAACCACATGATGAAAAGAGGCAGCATTTTGTTTCTGAACATTGGTCGGGTCTTGAATCGTAATAATATCTTTCTTTGTAAATGGTTCATCGGTTAACAAATCTCTCATATTGTTGAATTTTAAATTTAATTGTTCAATTGCATCTCGAGAATAAACATTTCCAGTTGTTTTGATAGCGACAATGTTAGTGTGTGAATTGAAAGGCTTGAAAAGGATTGGACATTGATTGTTTCCATCACTATTTTTACTGAAATTCAATTTAATCAGATTCTTCATCTCCATAGGTCTACCATCAATAGGATTGATCTTGTGCTTGGCCAGAAACGGAATAATATTAACCAAGTCAAATACATAACCATTTTCATCACAATATGGATCTCGAGCTGGATTAAGGGTTAAACAGCAATGATCATAAGGTAATCGACTAAATTGATTCAATTGTTGTTGTCGTAAATCAGCATCAGGAGGTCGACCACCATAAATGTAAGTATACTCAGTGGTTGTTAAATACAACTTATCTTTCTGATGTTGTCGTTTACCCATAACTGTAAACTATTAATAAACAAAATTAAATCACAATAAAAGTATTTGATTAACAAAAGCCTCAAATTAACAAGAAATTTTGGAAAATACTTTAGACAATTCTTCATTGAAGCGACCATATGATTGAAGCCAAAGAGTAGAGAGAAATTTCTTTCGCCGATAGATGGAGACATTTGTTCACATTTTGAAGAAAAATTTTCGTTTCAAATGTAACATTTCAGATGGAAAGAGAATTAATTTAAGATTATTAATTTTCAATTGAAATTCAGTAATTTCGATTAAGATTTGTTTATATTTGTGAATCGATTAAATCTCTTTGGAAAATGTCGGCCATACGAAGTAGTTTTCGATCCAACCATCATGCTGCTGAATTCTGTGCTACATGTGGAGCCATTTTACCTTTGCCAAGTGGAGGAAGTTCTTTCAATTTACTTAAATGTATCGCTTGTGGTCACGCAATTAGCATCAGTGTTTTCGATGGAACCACTTCAATGACTAAAATTGTCTTCAATAAAAGTGATAATATGTTGGTAGAGAAAAAGGGAATGAACAAAGGGCCAGTTGTCGAAAGGAAATGCAGGAAGTGTCCATCAGAGAAAATGTTCTACTTTACTCTACAAACGAGATCCGCTGATGAAGGACAAACAGTTTTCTACACTTGTTGTGAATGTGGTTCTCAGGAAAACGAAAATTCTTAATTGTTGTATATTAACCTTTCTTTTGTTTATAATCGATTAAAAGGAGTTCAATTCAATCTCGATTTGATGACAGTTAATCAACAACAATATTGTCAACGTGGTTGATAAAATTCGCGATCGTCAAGTTTAAAGGAAAAAAATTAAACTTTTTTTTTGTGAGTTGTTTAGATTTAATTTAGTCGATAAAAGAGACATAAATTAACCAACAGAATTATTTAATCATTATTGAATAGGTTAAGTTGTATTACAAAGCTTAAATACTTAAATTCTAGAAGGTACAACTTGCCATACTCGAATAAGATTATCAGAATAACCAGCGAATAAAGTTGATCCATCGTCAGACCAAGACAAGCAAAGACATTGTGGTGCCTTGTTCTTGTTAGTAGTTGAGATGGCCTCAGTTTTAAGTTCATCAACAACTTGTTTGGTTTCCAAGTCCCAAATTTTGATAGATGGCCCGGTAGCGACACATAACCAATAGCGATTAGGTGAAAAGCATAAAGTGTTAATAATATCGTTATGGTCAAGGGTGTAAAGGTGTTTGCCTTCATTAAGATCCCAAAGCATTGCCTTGTAATCTTTACCACCAGATGCACACAATGAACCATCAGGAGAAACGGTGACGGTGTTAAGATAACCACTGTGTCCAATATGGTTGTTCTTTAGACGACAGTTGCTCAAATTCCAAACCTGTAAAGGATTATAGAGGTAAATAGATGAAAAGAAAATAAATTAAAATTGATTGAAAGATGATTGATTTTGAATTTTCGAATTTACCTTGACAACTTTGTCCCAACCTCCGCTAACAATAATTGGATTGTTGTTACTTGGGGAAAATCTGACACAAGAGATCCAATCAGAATGACCATCTTCATGGATTGTGTATTTACATTGAGCTAAGGTATTCCAAAGCTTGATTGTCTTGTCTCGAGATCCGGAAACAATTTGTCGGTTATCAGGAGAAAAAGCAACACTAAGGACATCCTTGGTGTGATCCTCAAATCGTCGGGTAGTCTTACCAACATTGAGATCCCAGAGCCGTAAAGTTTTGTCCCATGATCCAGACAAAGCATATTGCCCATCCATGGAAAGGACAACGTCAGTAATAAAATGTCCATGACCTGTAAGTCGTTTTTGAGGAACACCGTAGGAAGATTCCTCTTTAATCAACTTCCAAAGGATCAAACTTTTATCTCGAGAAGAAGACAAAATCATATTTGGGTACCTGCTACTGGTAGCAATTTGAGTAACCCAACCAGCATGTCCTTCCAATGTACCTTTTAAAACCAAATCAACACTTTCGGAGCTCATTTTCTATCGACAAAAATAAAACCAGAAAACAGGCAAGGAAACCAAAGGAGAAAACACAGAAAGAAAAAAAAATTAATAACACAACAAAACGCAAAACGCTAACAAAGCGTCGCAACACTCAAAAGATCGAGAATTAATTACCAAAGACAACTTACCTTTAATTCGTAGAATTGTCTAAATTACCAAAAAAAATTAATTTATTAATTGAAAAACGACAGAAACTCAAAACCGTAAATGTAAATCTAAGTATCGGAAACGGAAGATACAATTTGCCGGATTCCATGGCAACGGAACATTCTAACAGTTTTTGCGCGCAAAATTTGAAAGCAAATTCTTCAAATGTTCGAATCCAATTTTCGAATTAATTTTTTTTTATTTCCTTCTTATAATCGATAAATTATATAGTAAATTTATTTAGATTTTTTGGAGTTAATAGCGTTTCATTTGTAGAAAATATTTGACTGGTTTACTTTGTAAACTTTATTCTCGAAAGAATTGAAAAATTATTGACAAAATCGAAAAAAAAATCGATATATTTACCTAAGAATATATTGTAACTAATAAAGTCGATCAATAATCAAGTATAACGAAAAAAAATCAACATATTAGAATATAAATCAGTGTAACTGACGAATTAGAATATTTTAATTGTTTCATCTTCCAACTCGAATCAATCTAATTGTAAATTAGTGTTCATTTATTTTTGGTTCGTTTAAGTTTGCTAATTGTTTTTCCATTTCCATTAATTGTTCAGATTCTGTTGGTTGATTGGCACGATAACTTTATGGTTATTGGAATATCAATTGATTAAAAATAAAGGATCAATTCAAGAGATATTAAATTGTTGTCAAAAATTTTATTAACTTTCAACTTTTTGATTACATTTTCAAATCACTCGAGAATCTAATATGACACCAATCATAATAATAATAGGATAAACTATCAACTAAATTGTTGTTGTATTGGTTGAAACATGATTAACAATTTATCAATCACTTAATCATAATCAATGTGAACAGATAACCAACGGAACAAATTATATCCAATAATGTATTCACAAAGATTAATCCAGTTACTTTGATAGCTGATAATCCATCGGCTAATCGTCGATATTTAATTGTTTTGCTCATTGTGATTAAACCAAATTTAAACAGTTACTTGAACTTGATTGTTAAAAGAATCAGAAAATAATGATGATCAGCCCAAAAGAAATCAAGATATTTATATGGGAAAATCAACAATCGATCAATAATTCAATAAATTGTCATGAATATTATATTAAGATTTGATTATCATGATGAGAATCAATCAAACAATCAAACTGAACCAACTCACGTAAAGAATAATCAATAATCAAGGTAACCAACAATCAAATCAGTACAAGAATAATATCAAGACTATTATTAAATGAAATATTTTAATCACTATTTTCTTGCCTAGTTCCTAGTAATTAAGTCCAACAATCAGCAATATTCACAGAGAATTGTCCTCATACCCTCAATATAGAGGATAAAATGTTCTGAATAAACGATAACATTTCATTTTATCCTCGTTTTCATCATTATATTCAAAAAACTCCCTCTCGATATTTGTGATTCCCAGTAACCGATAACATTTTTTACCATGCAAAGGTAAATATAACTCCCAGTTTCTTATTATTGTTGATAATTGTTTAAGAATAACAACTTCAACTGAGGAAAGTGAACTTTTGACCATTCGATTGGCATAGATTTTCACGGATTGATTATTCTATGAATTAGTTTAGAATCCCAACTAGACAGGGAATGAAATGACTTAATATAAATTCAAAGTCCAAAAAGAAAAGAACCAGTGACAAATCGAACTGAGTTCTAAGCTGAGAATCAGTTCTTTACAATTTAGCATAAAGAATAAAGAATAAAGGTTATCTTGTTAGTAGAGAAAAAATAACTCGGTCAATAGGAAGAAAAAATAAACGAAAAGAAAAGAAAACTACTAATTTATATAAAAGAAATGTTATCATTTTTTTCACAATAAATTCTCGTTACTTTATCATCTCCATCCTCATCTTCATCTTGTGTGCATGTCTCAAGCAATTTCATCATCTTCCTCAGAGACTCTTGAGAATCTGTTCAGAAACGATTTCTTTTCAGTAGTTAACGTGATTCCCTGTTGCTGGTAACACTTATTTTTTGTAATAATAGCAAAGATAAATAGTTGTTGTTTCTAATTATTGATCATAACAATTTATCGTCAAGTTGATTTCTAATTGTTTTGTTGTGTAAAGTTAATCAAAATGATGGAGAAACCAATTCCAACCAAATATCTTCCGTTAATCATTTCACTTATGCACAGTTTCCCAAATGAAACCAATGATTTTAATAAGATTTACTATCGTCCAACTTTATCTAATTACATTGGTCCAATTGTGACAATTTACTTAATTATCTTCATTTTTTCTCAAATTTTTACATTTTTAATGATAAAAAGGATAATCACCTATCAAAGGTCATTCTCAGTCTACGGACGGACACCGTTTGACCCTCTATTAGCTGTTGGTTTTAACGATTTTTTCATTAAAGGGATACTTGTTTTACCATTTTCTGTGATCATTTTAATTACAATTAACTGGACCTATGGTTCATTTTTGTGTTTCACTTTTCCCATGTTACAAGATTCATGTTTCCATGTAACATCAATCACCTATGTGATTATATTTTCCCGTCGATACAAAACAATATCAAAAATAGTTCTAAATGAAAATTTTACTTCTCTAACCAAATACGAATATGTGATCTCATCGTTTTGGGTTTTCACGATTGCCTGGACTATTTGTACCTTAGGGTCACTTCCGTACTCCTGGTTTATTGTTCACATACCAATATCACCTTATTTAGCTGGTCATCAGTTTGCCAAGGCTGCTGTTTGCTCAACTAATCCCACAGGTAATACCAAGGAGTACATCAGAATCCTATTTCTTACCTATTATGTGACACCAATTGCTATGGTTTTGTCTTATCATTCAAAGATTACAACTTGCATGAAGAATTGGCAACAATTGTTTAATCTTTCACCAACAATTAACCTCTCATCTTTATCAACAATTAAAGTGACCCGATGTAATTCATCAGCAACTGGACCTCCTTCATCACCACGAACACGAACCAGTGTGACCACGACAACCGATTGTTATGAAGTTACCGTTATAGATGAAGATAGTAATGAAATTAATATTAACTGTGATTCTAATTTAGTTGATAATAGTAAGGGAAGGGTAAGTGAGAACAATTCACCTTCCTATCAATCACAAATATCTCCCAAACAAACAAATAATCGCCTCCTTCAACCCAATCATTTCACCTACTCTGCCAATCGAGATCGAGGTAGTTCAATAGTTCAATCGTTGGTTCCATCAACGTCTCGATCAATCACCATGTCGTCAACATCTTCCATTTCAAAATCAACATCAATTTTACCTCATTTCTTTCTGGAGCAATCGTTTCACAGAATTCTGGTGATAATGTTCACTGTCCATGGATTAACACTTCTTCCAATTAATATACTTCGTATATGGAAACATGTTGTTGTGGAAAACAATGAGAATGGTTCCTTATTTGATATACTATTTATTACCTTTGTGGCGATTAAATATTCATCGGTTCCAATATCTTCATCGTTGTTTTACTTTTGGCAACATCGACATCGCATTTTGATTGAAATTTGCTTGCAAACCCATCAAAATGATCACAAACTATCAACAAAATCAAAAACTTCTAGAGGTAAAAGATCAACAAGTGAAAGTTACAATGGATTAGAATTGGAAAGTAGTTCAGTTTGACCAACAATCAAAACTGTAACGGTATTTTATTCTTAATCTTATTATATCAAAATCTGAGGATTAATAGTACATGTAAAATTTTCTAGAATTTAATGAGTAACATTGATGAAACTCTGTTTAATCTTCTTTTCTTCAATGACGATTCTTCCTTTCAATTTAACTTCTAATAATTTGCTAATAACAATTGAGTTTCAAATGAATATTTTTAGCGCACAAAATAAATTCGGACTATTAATCGTCTAATCAAATGAAAGTGTAATCCAAAACCCAGAATTTTGTGTAGTAATAATAAAAGAGATATCAAAAAAATCTATTCTATTCTAACGATTCATCCACATCCCTTGGCGACTTCAAAGTCTATTTCTCATGCAATTTTATCTCCATCATGTAACTGTTATCTAAAAAGTTCTTTTGTTATTAATATGAGATTTTTTTTCTCTTCTATTCGAAATTTTACTTGTTCTTCTTCTCTGTTGTTCATCATTTTACCTGAAATCAGGTAACAAACACTTTATTTATGATCCTTATCTCCATCATTCACCAGCCAGTGAAAGGTGAACATCATGATCATGTTCACCTTTCATCTAAAAATAAATCAGTTAACTGAAATACTCGAATCAGAACTTTGCACAGAAAAAAGTTCGAGATGTTTATTCAATCTCAACAATCGGATTAAATGAATGTATACAAAAAGCAATAATAGTAATGAAATAGATGATTATCATCTTATAATCAGATATTTCTCAGCAAATTGACAATCAAAATTTCCAACAATTAAAGTGTTAACAGTCCAATGATTAACTATCGCTTCTTAAAAGTGATAACAATTAACAATAATACCGTTTAATATTCAAATCCCTGGATATTATTTTTTTTTCTTGAATTTCTATTTTCTGTTAATAGATTTAATTTAATTGTTATCCTTGAACAAGAGATTCTAATGGAAATTAATTATTCCTCTACAATTTAATTTGAAATATGAAATTTAAAACTATTAATCTAATCAACTAATTGATGATCAATTTTAAATGAAATGAAATTGCGGTTTGTTGCTGGGAATACAAAATGTTACAAGGAAATTTGATTTAATAAATGATTCAAATTAAATTTGAATAAATGATTTTCTTTTTCTCAATCATAATTGTCAATGTTGGTAAAAATAAATCAATCAACTATTAATTTACTGAAACAAAGGAAACAATTACAGAAAAACGTAATTTAAATTAGCTAATCAACAATAACAATCAGCTTTACGTTACCACTTATAAAGTAATTAAATCCCATTGATTTAAATTGAAATGTTACATTTTCTGTGGTTGACAATTAAATGATATTATTAATAATTTTGATTGACATTCCGTCCAAAGTTAATTGTAGTGAAAGAAAAAGTTTCAATTCTTTGATTAAGTTTAAGATTAAATTGTTTTATTGATTTTAAATTTGACTTTAAATCAAATCAATCAAAATGTTAACAATGAACTCACTTGATTTTAGAACCTTTAATCAACAGGGAAGAAAATATAATTAGAACAAAATTCTGATAGAAAATTTAACAAGTTCGATATTTTTTCTTCAATCTAATTTAATAAAAAGTAATCATGATTAAGCTGATTACCTTTTTTTTACCAGAATTTCCTTTCAATTGAATGATTAGTTAATTGTTAATCTGTAATTTCATTGCGATCAATGTTTCCAAGTTTCCAGATTAGTTAATCTGTTTCAGTTGAAAGATTAACGTGATTTATTTACATAAATCAAATTTAATTAATCACCAAGAATCTGTTCAATTGAGATTAATTTTTAATTTAACTTTTGTTAAAAGTTACCTTAATCATATGGATACTGATGACAATCAATGATTAATGTTATCCTTTTATTATTAATGATCACGTTGAACAATTTAATTGATTGTCTAAGGATTTTAAACTAAGGTGTGGTAACTTTGATAGTGGATAATAAATTGTTGTAATATTAACGGATTGTAATCAACTTGATTGTAATCCAATCCAATGTTGTTTATTAATCACGTTGAATATACATATTCCCCCAATCTATTGGTGACTATGATTAGTTAATCATTAAAGATAAATTAGTTTCAAGTCAAGTTAACTCAACATGATTTACTAACGATAATATTATGATTACATGATTTATTTTCACTAATTTACTTTGAGTGTTATTTTTTTTTGCTCAAACTATAACTGGATTAATCAAGAGTAAATACTATTAACCATTGATAATCACAATCTATATAATTAATCAAGGTTAAATTGTTAATAATATTCCAAAATCATTGAGACAAATCAATCGCTAATAATAATAAACATTCACAATTAAGGATAAGTAAATAATCTGGACAAAGTATTGGTAAGTTGATCAAATGGTTAATTTGATTGTTAATAATTTAGAAATTGATTTTTAATTTATTCATCAAATTACAAAATGTTTACCCCTTGACGGTTTAATTTGATTACAACAATTAAACAATTGATTAATTTCAGAATTTTTCTCTCAATTGTGATAGTTGGAAAAAAATCTAATTCAGAAAACTAATTAACTAATTGTTTGCGTTGGTGAGACAACTGATAACGAATTATAATTGTAATTAATGGTTTAACTCTAATCGTATTGTAATGATGTTTGTATCCTTTGGTTGATTAAATAATTGAACAATCAACAGAATAAAACAATTATAATCATTAATTTAATCACTATTATTATTCACTAATGAATCTAAGAGATTAATTATTTTCCCTGTTCGTTTTTTTCTTGCATCAGTTTTGTTTCACATCTCAAATTCAGGGTAATTCATGGTAACAATTGAACTCTGGAAATTTGATCAATCCAAGAATCAACATTTTCCTATCTCGAACTGTAAATAATATATTCAATCAATCAACATTCAGTTTCCATGGTTAGATATTAGAAATGTTTCCTTTTTTTTTTACTTGTAACAATTTAGAATATAAAAAAAAATATTCAAAATTTGAATTAAATGTCAAGAGAATCTGAAAAATTAAACAGAATCAGATTATCAATAACCTTTTCTGTTATGAATATTGATTCAATTGGTTGTCAAAGGTTAAATTGTAAGGTTACAGTTGATGAGTGGAAATTGAATATTATTTAATTGTTGGAGTTTCACTTATCATAATCATTTGATTGTTGATTGGTTTTTCCTCTTGAAATTCTCATACAATAATAACTCAATTCAACATTTTATCTTCACTGATCCTCATCTTCATTTCGAACAGAACTTTTTTCTTCTCCATCTTCTTCTCGATAATGGTTTCTAAGTACAGGTAAGTTCATGAGAAAGATGAAACCTCGAGGGATTTTGACTGCGTCCTCATTGTCAAAATGTCCTTTTGTGTCTCAATGGCTTAATACAATTAAAGTAAATCACAATCAACAATTACAATTACTTTTCGTTTATTGAACAGTCACTTAAATCTTTCGATAGTTTAACAATTTTTAAGAAAACTTTGTGTCCATAGTTTTGATTTTTTTCTCTTCTTTTCCTCTATTCAAGTGATTTAATCTTCTTCTTGTATTGGTCATCATTTCCACTGACCAGTGGTAGAAAAGCTTCAGTTTTAATTTCACCCTGGAAAAGTCATTGATAAGCTCAAAGAAAATTATATCCATCATTGAAATGATTTAATTGTTCATGAAAATTGATAATTTTCTGATATTACAATTGAAAATAGATTTAAATTATTATTGTGAATAATTTTAGACTTTAATTGTTAGGATAGAAAAGGATTAAGATTATAAGTAGATTGTTGATTAATTTCGGTTCTTTTTTTATCCTTCGTCATGATGCTTATGAATATCACGATAGTGATGAAGAAAAAGATGATAATCATATTACAAGAAGAAAACTAATAGAAAAAGATTATCCATAGTTTCCTTATAATTATCGTTCGAGTATAATAATAATACTATTACTCAGAATAATAGAATTATTTTCTCTTTTTTTCTGAGTATAATTCTCGATTCTTTGTTCATCATTATCTGGTCTCAATTCGGGTTTCATTGGGTATTTTTTTCCACCCATCAAGCGATTGTCATTAATCCGTTTGGAAAATGTCGCTTCTCTACTGGACTTTGACGATTTAATCTGATTCCATTATTAGATCGCTGATTTAGTTTATTATTCCAATTTCCTCTGTTGGAACTTCCTCTTACCATCATGGAACTATTAATAACATCATCATTATTATTATTGTTGTTTCCATAATTTATTTGATTGTCACGTTCCGTGATATCAATACTTTGGCGGTTTAATCGATGATCAACAGAGTTTCGTCTTCCCTGTTTCGGTGATTCCATGAACATTATCGAGGAAACGGAAGCAGAAGACAGACAATCATCAGAAGAGCACATATCTAAAGGATAAAGATGAGCTGATGATGATGGTGATGATCTGATTGATGATAATGATGATAATAAAGGTAATGATTGAGGTGATGATTGTAAATGTTTTGAATCAATTGACTTCCATGGTTTCATTGAATTAGTTGAGTTAATCACATTTGATGTTGAATTGTAATGATTATTTGATGATGAAGATTCTGATGATGATGCTGATGAATCTGATAATGACATTGTTATCATTTGATTGCGTAAAATATTATTGTTTTCATTAGAATTTTCATTAATTGTTGATGATAATGATCTTTCCTCTTCAGATAATCTTCACCATTAACTTGTTGTTCATCATCACCTTTACCTTTATCACTAAATATATTTGGATCATCAATATATTTCTTTATCAAATTGAATCGGCTTATGTAACCAACTTCACCTTCATTTCCGTTTGACTCAAATTCATTTCCGGCAAATGTGATGAACATTTCATCGTCATCAAGGGTCAATGGGTCAACAATTGTTTGCCGGGCATAGTTTTCCTCACCAATCATATCAATATTGATATTAACACTATTCTTGTTGATACTGTTGTTATTTTGATTATAATTTGGTGATGATGATCCATTGCTTGGCTCAGATGATAAACTCCATGTTTCCAATGGAAACCTTGAGGTAATCATTTCATTCCCTGTTGAATTTGGTTCCTCATCTGAAATTGATGATGAGTGATTATTAAAATTCAAATAACGGCCCTCCTGTATTGTTATCACTTGAGAATTATCATCAGATCTTGATTGTTTATTAGCTGATTTAGCATTCTTATTATTATTGCTATTGTATTTTCCACTTTTATTACCATTTTTGCTATTATTATCTCTGATATTGTTTCTCATGGATCTATTTTCAAGTAGTTTATTAGGTACGGATGAGGATGATAGGGATGGTCGAGATGATGAAGATGGTAATCTTAATGACATCGAAGCCACTGGTTGTAGCATCCAATTATTGTCACTGACCAATGGTAAAGACTTAACTGTTTTGATCTGTTTTCTTTTACGGGTAAAATGTTTCAAATCAGCGACTAATTGGCTTAATCTTGAATCTTCTTTAGAGTGATTATGATTACCATGAGACGAATGATTTGATTTAACCCCATCGATTTTAGATCTTGCCTTACATGTTTCAGTAATTTCGGTGACAACCTCGGGCAATGGGACAATACTCCGTTGGGCGAGTTTCTTTTCCACTTCGTTTGATAGGTTGGCCAAATTTTCTGAACTAATTGTATCATCGTAATTATTGTTCCCAGAATTGTTATTGTTATGATTTCCCTTTGTTTCAAATAGATTCTCATTAATATCTGATAGATCATTGAGAGAATCGGGTTCATTGGAGTAATTGGTTTGCTCCATGTTTCCGTTCTCGTTGGAAATAGTAACATTCTGATCATCATTAACCGTAACCATTTCCTCTGCTAAACGATCAACTATTTCCCTTCGTGATACTTTGGATGCTTTGTCATCTCCCCAGGCAGTTATCATCATGGAAGAATCACAATTTTTCTTATAAATCGATGACAATGAGGAGCTCAATTGATGCTCGTGTCGTGGCTCATGAGATCTATCATTCGATAACTCGGAATCAGAGAATGCAATTTCTTTAGTGGTCACTTTAGCTTTAGAATTGTCTGAAGCTCTTCGAGAGCTTCCAAATGATAAAAGTTTCGGTCTAAATTGATTAACCGACGATTTCCAAGAGTTTGACTGCGAAACAGTTGAAATCGCCACAGGCAATGATAAAGGTTGTTGATATGAATTATCTTGTTGATATTGTTGCTGATACATGGATAAAGCTTCTTGGCTTAATAATGTCTCATTTCTGTTCATTTGAAGTTCACTTTCACTTTCCAATGAACTTGGTGATCCCATTGACGACGAGTCACTTGTTGTCGATAAACTAATTGATTTATCTTTAGATTTAAGTTCAGAAATAAAATAATCATCTTCTGGAATGACTAGTAAAGTTGGTTTGAAACGGAGCTCTCATTCGACCTCGAGCCGATGAAATGACCTCTCGAAGTCTTGAAAGAAATTCAATGGCAGTCGGTGAGGGCGATGATAAGGCCTCAGGGTCCAACAATTTAGGCGCAATCGACAAGTCTCGTCTTGATAATCGATTCGACCGTCGAAATGGTTGTGGTGATAAATTGCTAACAATTTGTACATTTGTGTTCGTTTGTCCACAAAACTGTCCATTAAATTGAGCAGATTTCTCCTTGACTCGAGCCTAATCAACGAAGAAAAAAAAACATCAACAACAATTAGTTAATCACAATGATAATCTAAGACTTGCATGTTAATCATACGGATGAAATGATTACATAAATTGTTTACTATTCTGGTGAACATACAATTCAATTAATCAAGCAAATTACATTCTCCTAATCATATTGAAAAGTTTACCTTAATTGTTACTGTTTTTTAATTATTAACTAGAATTATGATTAGTGTATGATTAGCGAAGCAAATAATTAAAGATGTTAATTGTTGATTTTCTTAAAACCTTCGACAAGGTAAATGTTTACAGTTAATTAGTAAAAGAAACATAAAGAAACACAAAATGATTACATGATAATGTAGAGAATAGTTAATCAGATTTAAGGATTTTGTCTATTCCAAAAATAAGTTAATTAATTGAGGTAATGAAAGAAAATAGTAGAGATTAAGTGAGAGAAAATGATTCCAGACTAATTTGAAATCCGTTCTTCATGGTGAATGGATTAACATGGTAATCAAATCCATGTTATTATTAAATTATCGATGGAAATGATTATCTGCCGTTGACAACAATTAAACATCTTTGGTATCCAGTTGATTATTGATCAACATGGAAAAGGCAAACATTCATATTCCCATGATGGGAGATAAAATACTCAGAGGATTTTGATTGTTAGTTAAGGAAGTGACACTTTTTCATTGAGCATTATCATTGGAATCATTATTATTATCATCTCTCTCTCTCTCTCTCTCTCTCTCTTACATTTCATGATAATGAAAATATATTATCTCTGTGAATAGAGTCATGAATATGTTAATAGGAAATACAAATAGAGTTGGAGAAAAAGTCAGAATGAAAATTTAACACCAATGAATAGAAGATGAGAATACAATGAGAATAAGCTAATTCTTTTAACCATTAGAGTAAAAATGAAGAAGAAAAAATTGTCAGCTTAATAGTGACAATATGGAAACATGATGAGATGAGAAAAAGTTACTATTAAATTGCAATTATTATCATGTTCAATTTATAAGGTAATTTAGATTCTTTTTTCTTGGTTGAATTTTCCAATGTTTGAACAATTTATCAAATTGTTCATCATGATCATCAGTTGTATTGTGATTTTCATTATCTGGGTCAAGCTAAATGATACTTGGGTCAATCGGATGTGTCAATTTGTGAAATTTTACTCAGTTTAAGAGTGAAAAATGATTTCCCCTGAAATTTGCATAAATTTTGTATTAACTTGAATGTGAATTAAACAGGAGAATCACAAGTTCCATGTAGGAAAGATAATTCAGTTCAAGTGAAAGTTGTGTATGTGTGAATTTGTCAGAATAATAAACACCAGAGAGTGAAAAGGAAAATTTAATCAACTAATGATGAGAGAGGAAGAAGAGAAAAAAAAATACAAAGAATCACAAGTGATGGAAAACAATGTTTCCAGTCTATTAACAAGTGAATGAGTAAATCATTAGGAAGACATTGAGAAGTAGAGATGAAGATGATTATTAGGTAAGGGATGAGTAGTAGAAGATGGAGAAGAGAAAAAAAGAAAAGAATAACATTTTTAAATATCATGAAATTGAGATTTTCACCATCTTTCTTTGGAACAGTAACTTACCTGTACTTTCAGAAAGACAGAGAGAGAAATTGAGAGAGAGAGAGAGTTCACTTTCTGGGTAAAGAACAAAACTCAAGTTCACAAACCCCTGAAGGCATTAAAATGAAAGTTTTTTTTTCCATCAATATCATGAGAAAATGAAGAGTTTGGATATATAAATAATGTATTTATGAGTTTCTGATATAAATATAAAATTTCACATGAGAATAGAACAAAAGAAAGAGAGAGAATTGATAAACAAGAGAGAATGAAAATTCTGAAATGGATAATGATATCGATAGATGATAATAATTTTCTTCTTCTTTTTTTTCATGTCGAATTGAGTCCACATGGTGAACAGAAAGAAAGAAAAAAGAAAAAATTATTCAGTGTTAATGTCACAGAATAGAAAATGATGATTATTTCAAATGAAGAATATGTAACGTGTTGATTGCGTTTTTTTTTCGTCAATTAAAGTCGCACTTACGCAATGAGCGAAAATCATCAAACTATCGCCATTTTTTTTTCTCTTCTCTTCTTTTGTGACATTTGATTCTTCTCATGGTTCAATTGATTGTTAAATAATTGTCGATTAATTGTGATTTAATAATAGATTAACTGATTTGTTCATTTTTAATTCGTTAGATTTTATCAAATGTCACAAAAGTTTCATTTTCTCATTTCAACCGATTAATGATTCTTTTGTCTTATTTGTCTTTTCAGTCTTCAACATTATTGATTTAGTCGCGATTCCAACTGATCAACAATTTAACAGTTTTATCACTTGATTGTTTATGAATATTTAATATAATAACTGGCTGGAATTGTTCACCATGTTAAATGAACTTGAAATGATGATGACAATACACATATAAGGAGATTAGAGTATTTAATCATGTAGCTTGAGATTCATCATGATGAATGAATGTTCATAATCTACATGTTACCAAATGAGGTCTTTGGTACGGTTCAGTTGATTAACTAATTTCTGCTTATTAACAATTAACCATAAACAACCTGGGTATCAATTCTTTACTATGCAATCAACAATTTACATTCTTAATTGTATTGATTTACTACACGAATACACTATAAGTGTGTACACGTTTAATCAATAACAATCAAAGGGTAAATGGTACCAGTAGGACAATATAATTGATAATCTAGTCGTTGATTAAAATCATTGTTTCCTTTAGTGTTTTTTTTTTGACGATAAATTGTCAGGCTAATTATTATCTGATCGCTGTTGGTTAATTAAGTTATTGGGGAAGAAATTATGAAAGAGAGAGAGAGAGAGATGGAAAATTAATTACCTGTAATGAGTTTAATGATGATGGAGTGTGTTGATTATGATGATGATGATGATGATGATTAACAATGTTGGTTATTGTTGTGAGTGATTGAGAGGGTGAAGATGCTGGTGATTGAGGAGAGGAGGATGAGGATGATGATGGAGATGAAAGTGATGAAGATGATAATGGAAAGGTTAACAATGATGGTGATGATGAGGATAGATTATTAATCGATGATGGATTAGGTGATGAGATTGGCACTGATAAAGATGATGAAGTTATTGTGGATAATAAATGTCCTTGGTCAATGGATTTGAGACAAATCTCAACATCTGATGATTGTGTTTTCTGTTGACAATTATCATCACTTTTGTTGATTTCTTTTTGTTGACTTTTTCTTTTACTATTATTAATTGAATCACTTTTAATTGATGGATTAAATTCACCGGCAATTTCACCATAATCAACTCTATCCATGGAAAGTGTGAAACATTTTGTTTTACTGTTCGCATCCTCATCTCCGCCTCGTTCCAATGATGAACTTCCTGTTTGATTGGAAGATGAATCACCGAATGACCCATGATGATGATTAGATGAATGAAATGAACTTTGTTGAAAACTACTGTTGTTACTTCGATGGTCCTTTAAATTGTCAACCCTTTTAGATCTCAGGTAGATCATTAGAGAGAACATAAGTTAATCCTAAGACACCGATGGATAATCCGATGATTAGATATC